TGCACCATTGGATAGATGATCATTTAACTTTGCCCGTCTCCTGTACACTTTGATCATGTCATGCCTTGCAGGACCATCATGAGTACATAAGCGCTGGACTTGCCAAGGCTATGGTGCTGCTGAACTGAAAAGAAACATGATCATAACCCTAAACCCTAAACCCAGCAGGACTTCAGGACTTAGAATCCCGTAAATCCTCAACCCTAAGGCAGGTGTTAGCATGACGGTTTGGCATCCTCTGACTCTCCTGGTGCTTGCTGGCTTCATACTGAAACTTATGCGCTTTGCATGTTTCCAAACCCGTCAGGTGTTCTTAGCACTCGAGTAACTTGAATATATGCTTGTAAGTCCTCGCTACAAGTCGAAACTTGTTTCCATCAGAGGCACAGTCGACATCAATGATGGTTGCCGACAGGAACTTTGATGTATTTCGAACAACCAGATTATTAATGAGGGGGAACTTGGGCCACACTATTCCAGCCTTTCGGCCCTGGCTCTGACATAGAAGGTGCTGCCAAGGATCAAGTCGGATATAACTTGGTGGGTGCATTGTTGTTGGCCGTCATTCGTTGAGTGGATGCTGTGAGTCCCAGTACTAGTTTGACGGTCGTCCCGCTTGTTTGATGTTCACATGTGCTGTTACCGCAACGGCTTGTGGCAAGTTGACCACTACGACCGACATCGCAAACATAAAGATCGTTTCTGCAATCAGGGCGATGGCTGGTACGATGTTGTGTCCTGACAGTACGTTGCTTGTGCGATGTACTTGCGCTGCTGTAGTTAGTGCGTTCTTTCCAACCACCCTTCCTTCCTGCACTTGCGCTGCCTCCATCCTTGGATCACACCACTTTGCACTCTGTGATAGGGCTGGTGGCGCCATCTTCCATCAAGTTCACTCCATGAGCCAAGCCTCACTATAACCTCACTAACCCTTTCAGTTTTCAGCACGCTTAGACTTCGGCTCGGGAGGTTCACGGCTGAGGTGCGTACTGACTAAACGCACTCTCGAACCGAAACGAGGAACATCAGGGAAATATAGGGACATGGTTGCTTGGAGATATCGCTTGGGGCAGTGTCCACTGATGTATGACGTCGAGCGACGAATTTTCACTTGTCCCAAAGACCTAAGCACAGACTCGTTAAACCTGAAGATCAAGGGGATGGATTTCGAAGGGCCTCACCAAAGACCTGTGCGTGGGGCCATGCAGCCACAGGACTTTCACCAGTCGCAGTGTTCTTGCGGATCTTTGGAGTTTTGCCGACCATCATGCGCAGGACATCTGACTTTAGGTGAAAAACAAATCGCAGCTTTCACATGTCTGAAACCAGGGCCCCCCCAAAAAAAACCTGCCAGCCTCCGGAAGCAGTTGCCTGGGAGGTCGTGGCAAACCTGCCAATGCGAATGCTTCTTCGGATGAGGATGCATGTGGGTGAGGGCTGCTTACTCTGTAATTCGAGACAAGAGTCAGTAGGGAAGCATCCGGTGTTGAACTCTTGATTCGGGATGTGGGGTGCGAGTTCGTTGAAGGGGCGCTTGGGCCTTGTGAACGCTGGTAAATACTTGGTTCGTAGAGACTCTGATGCTCCCCGGCACCCGAACAAAGCTTCTTCGGCTGCGAACTACATAAATCCTACACTTTGAAGGTCGGGACTCCCAAGACCCGCGTACCAAAAGTTATGACAGCAATGATCGTAGGTTTTTATATTAAGAATAAAAAACTGTTATAGTTGTGTCTAGAACAACCCTAACATAATCAGAAAGGTAGACCTAATGTTCCCTTTTGGCACCTACTATACTTATACTATAAGGTTTCAAACCCCATTTTAGACCGGTAAAGCTGGAGTTTGATGTCAAAACATGGCTTGACACTGCAGCTGTTGAACCCTTCCTTGCCGGGAGGGGGGCAAACCAACAAACTCACGTATTCCTCGCCCTACTCGGACCTATACAGGGTTTTACGGATTCTCGGGTTTTGGGCTGGGCTCAAAGGGTTTGCCCGAAATAAACCCCGAACCCTAAAACTTCGTTGGATGCTCCTGGGAGTGTTGACGCAGGCGAGCACAAGAGCAGCATTGATTGGTGAAACTCAGGGGTCTTATGCTCAAAAGCCCCTCGGCTGCATTTTGGGGACTTCGTGGTGCCATTAAGGGTTTATATAGGGCGGTTTGGGTGATTTTAGAGAGGCCTTGATATTTTGAATCGGGCTTAGGTGTATTATTGTATTTTCGGAACTAGAAGGAGAAAGCATTACTTTACTAATTCTTCAGACCCCTATAGTGTTGGCCTTGGCGTTGGGATTTAGGCTGGATTATAAGGGGAGTTTCAAGGCGTGGCTTCTAGCACAAATGTTTCAAGGCTGGAGTGGCGAGCCTGCTGGTACCTCAAACGCACATATGGGGGGTTTCCGAAAATAGGGGACCCTAATATAGTACCCTAAATAGTGGGATCCTTTATTATAAGGACCCCCAAAATAAGGTACCCCTTGTTTTCGGCAACTCCCATATCTGCCCTAAACCCATGGAACGATGCTGAAGTAACTGTGGGGGGGTAGCCCTTATCGTGACCCGTCTAGTAATCATTATAGTAACCCTAAGCCCGTGTAGTAAGCTCATGGTCAGAACATGCCGTACAGCTACAGTCAGGCACGAGAATCCGAAACATGCGAATTACGCACTACGGCAGAGCCCTTCAGTGGCCAAAGACGTTGCGGTTCTTGGCCTGTCCAAGAGGTACACGGATACGGGCTCTTTTAGTGTTTAGGAGGATTAAGGCTTGTGAACCAAGGAACAACAACGCACAGGTTCAGACGGTGTTTCCGCGAAGTTTACGTTCAAATAGGCTCAAGGCAAACTTGGAAGACCAGTTATGCATTACACCGTGCTAGCGCAAGGGTGGTCCGAATATGCAGAAACCTGGCTTCGGGAGTATTTGGGGGCAGTTTGGGGGTTAAGCAATCCTGAATCATCTTTCCTGCCTTTGTGGACAGCAACATGGATTGAACCAGCATGCAATCATCAGAGTGGCTACTCGTCTTACTACTTGAAAGGTCAATTACAATGTTTCTATTTCTGCACTTTTCTTGGCCATTGCCAGCACTTGACGATTAGGAGCTCAATGCGCCGTGCCGGCATGATCTCCATGGCGTTATGTTGGACGTTTAAATGGCTCTAGATCAACACCCGCGGGTACTGTAAAGCCTCTGCTGCCGCTAGAGGGGAGGCCATGGCTTGGAGCAGTGTAAGGAGGGATCGGGAAAGCCAGGGAACAAAAGCGATGTTCGCTCAAAAACACCCCTGCTTCGCTGAATGATGCCTGAACTTTGAAGAAACGTGAGAACTGCACCCTGGTCCCTGCTTGACCTTCTAGACCAAACCCAAGCCAAACGCTGCCGTTTTTTGTCGCACCGTCACGGTTCCGGGTGTGGGGCTTGTAAACACAAACCCCAAACTCTACACCCTAGCCACAAATCCTACACCGTAAACCCTAAACCCATTAAGCCTGAACCTGACACCCCGTGCGCCCAAATCCTGGCCTTGCCATAGATAGGCCTTCGGAAATCGATGCCATGGCCGGAGAGGATCCTGAGCAGCTGTTTTCTGGGTTTAAGTTTTCGGTTCAGGGACTGGGGAGTTTGTGTCTTCAAGATCCACAGAATGGAGCCGAAGTGCAGTTTCGGATTGGAACTTCAGCGCCTTGGGGTTGTTGTTGCTGGTTGTGGTGGTGATGGTTGTGGTGGTTGGGCGCTTGTGCAGCATGTGGTGGTCGTGGTAAAAATGGTTCTTGTGGTGGTTGGAGTTGTCAGTGCTGTCGTTGTTGTTGTTGTTGCTGCTGCTGCTGTTGTTGTTGCTGTTGCTGATGCTGTTGTTGCTGTTGTGGCTGTGGTTGCAGTTGTGGTTGCGGTGACGGTCGCCGTTTCGGTCGCGGTTGCTGCTGCTGGACTACTTTTTTTTGTTGCTGTTGTTGTTGTTGGTGGTGGTGGTGGTGGTGGTGGTGCAGTTGCAGTTGCAGTTGCAGTTGCAGTTGCAGTTGCAGTTGCAGTTGCAGTTGCAGTTGCAGTTGCAGTTGCAGTTGCAGTTGCTGTT